AGAACAAGTCCAATATTCTTCCGTCCCTATTAAACTTACATGGGTCGTTGTATTAAAGCCCAAAAGGTCGCGTTTATATTAGATTACAATTGCAACCTAAAACGAAAAGTAATAACTCACAAATATCTACGTTCTCTATTCAACTTGGGCGGGACGGTAGAGCTACAGTGTCGCTTCATGCAGGTCGGCGTTCAATCCCTGACCGTCCAAGTGGTTGGAACACCATTCCTTTCCCCCCCCCCCGTCCCATCCCAAATCCTTATCCTGATCCCTTCCCAGTGCTATACAGTCGTAATGGCTAGGCGCATTCACCCTGATAGTTTCTTTTCCCTTCCCTTTTCAACACACTGGATAGGTTATGTGGGTTAGTTGGGACGTTTCTGGTTAGGCTAGGAGGATAGATCTTTGTACGGAGTGGCAAATCAGGAGGACTGGCTGGTGAAGTAGGATGGCCGTGGGAGAGATTCTTGTCTTGCTACCCTTTATCTTCCTCATCATCGTAGAGTGAAGTGTGGCTACGCTTCACTCTACGATTCACTTAACCCCCTTAATCGTAGGGAGCGCCGAAGGATAGGGTGAGGTGACTGTTGCCTGACCTGATGGATATCACTTATGATAAATGAGTGATATCACTCATTGCTTAAACGTGAAAATAGCACTGTCCTATTATGTGGAATCTCTGTCTGTCTGTCTGTCTGTCTGTCTGTCTGTCTGTCTGTCTGTCTGTCTGTCTGTCTGACTGTCTGTCTGTCTGTCTGTCTGTCTGTCTCTCTCTCTCTCTCACTCTCTCTCTCTCTCTCACGACCCCCCAAGATAGTGTGGCAGCGGTGGTGTCAGAACTCCTCCGGCACTCTGACACGGTGTTACGAGGTTGAGAGGCAATGTATCAGGCGAGACCTCTGATTGAAAAACTCTTCCTAGGGAATCGACGTCTGGTCGAATGAAAAGAGAGGATATTGCTTTCTCATTACTGTCGCCGCGGCCTCAAGTAGTGTGTGTGTGGGGGAGGGGGGGGGTGCTTTAAGGGGAAGCACGCGGCTGGTACTCACCTAGTTGCGCTTGCGGGAGTTGAGCCTCTGCTCTTTGGTCCCGCCTCTCAACTGTGAAGATTCCTGAGCTTACTGGGCCCTATCCTATCTACATATGAAACTGTATATGGAGTCAGCCTCCACCACATCACTGCCTAATGCATTCCATTTGTTAACTACTCTGATACTGAAAAAATTCTTTCTAATATCCCTGTGGCTCATTTGGGTATTAAGTTTCCACCTGTGTCCCCTTATTCGTGTTCCACCCATGCTAAGTGGCTTGTCTCTGTCCACCCTGTCAATTCCTCTGAGAATTTTGTAGGGGGGGTGATCATGTCTATTCTTACTCTTCAGTCTTCCAGGGACGTGAGGTTTAGTTCCCGTAGCCTTTCCTCGTAGCTCATACCTGTTAGTTCTGGGATTAGTCTGGTGGCATACCTCTGAATTTTCTCTAACTTTGTCTTGTGTTTAATTAGGTATGGACTTCATGCTGGAGCTGCATACTCAAAGATTAGTCAGACATAAGTGGTATACAAGGCTCTGAATGATTCCTTACACAAATTTCTAAAGGCAGTTCTTATGTTGCCCAATCTAGCAGATGCCGCTGATGATATTCTTTTGATGTGGACCTATGAGGACAGCTTCGGTGAGATATCAACTCCCAGATCTTTTTCTCTATTTGATTCTTGCAGGATTTTACCTCCCAGATGGTACATTGTGTTCAGCCTCCTGCTTCCTTCTCCTAATTTCATCACTTTACACTTTCCCGGGTTAAACTTTAGTAGCCATTTTCTAGACCATTCCAGGATGGGTCCAAGTACAGAGCCCTGTGGGACTCCGCTGGTGACATCTCGCCACTCAGATGTTTCCCCCTTCACAGTTACTGTTTCCTGTTGCTTAGATACTCCCTTATCTACTGGAGCACCTTATCTTTTACTCCTGTTTGTTGCTCCACTTTTGTAATAGCCTCTTATGGGGTAACGTGCCAATGACTTTCTGACAGTCTAAGAAAATGCAGTCTGCCCACCCTTCTCTTTTTTTTCTAATTTATGTCACCAGGTCATAGAATTCTATTAAGCCTGTGAGCCACGATTTACCATTTCTGAATCCATGTTGGTGGTGTGTTACAAAGCTCCTTCTCTCAAGATGTTCTACGAGCCTTTTCCTCACGATCTTTTCCATCACCTTGCATGGTATTTAAGTTAGGGAAACTTACCTGTAGTTCTCTGCCTCTTGCCTGTTACCCTTTTTGTATATTGAGACTACATTAGCTGTCTTCTAGCTTTCCGGTCGGTCTCTTTTTTCCAGTGACTTGTTATACACCATAGAGTGGCACACTTAGTGCTTCTGCACCTTTTTTTTAGTATTCATGGATTCTGTCAGACCCAGAAGCCTTTGTCACATTCAGCTCCAACAGATTCCTTTTGACCTCATCACTGGTGAGCTCAAATTCCTCCAAAGTTGCTTGGTTTCCGGCCTCCTCTCTCAGTACAGGGGCTTCTCCTCGCTCTATTGTGAAGACCTCTTGGACGCACTTGTTGAGTTCTTCATACACCTCCTACGCAGATACACATTCTCTGTGTATCTGTTCTTCCCTGTTCTCAGTTTCATCACTTGTTCCTTCACTGCTGTTTTCCTCCTGATGTGGCTGTGGAGCAGTTTTGGTTGGGTCTTTGCTTTACTCGCAATGTCATTTTCATACTGTCTCTCTGCTTCTCTTCTCACTCTGAGGTACTCATTTCTGGCCCTCTGGTATCTCTCCCTGCTCTCTGGTGTTCTGTTATTCCTGTAGTTTATCCATGTTCTTGTACGTAATTGCTTCGCTACCTTACATTTCTGATTGAACCATAAGTTTTCCGTTGCTTTTCATTTTTCTACTTTTGGGCCGGTATAACCCTGTCTGCAGCTTCCAGTCCCTTCTGGGTGCCGTAGTCCATCATATCTTGTACAGGTAAGGGGGTGGGAGTGTGGCTTGATAGATGGGAGGGAAGTGGATGGTTGGTGGATGGTAGTGGAGGAGGGAGGAGTGGTGGAAAGAGAGAAGGGTGAGACAGCATCAGAGTGGAAGGTATATGAGATGATAGACGGATGGGAGCAAAGGAGATGGGTATGGGATGGATGGCTAGGTAGATGAATGGATAGGTGGTTGACTGATTGGAATATAATACGTCTGATGTCACATCAACAAGTTCAGCGGCGTCAAAAACCATAACAAAGACAAACAAACAAATATGCGTGTCAAAATATAAATAAAAAAATACAGAAAATAAAAAAAAATCTAATATGTACTCAAAATTATATGTAAATTAAAGAAAAACCATGCAATATACCTGGAGAGTTAGCACATCGTGGTTCTTGGGTTAAGGCGTGTGTCTGGGATCACCCAGGGCGGTGATTCTATCCCAAGATCTTCTCGTAACATCTTATACAACTATATATATTTTTAAATATATAAAAAATATATAATATAAAAAAAATATATATAAAAATATATTTAAAAAACTATTCAATTACTCAATATAGTGCATCACTAATTAATATGTGATACAAGCGTAATTACGAAACGCTGTAAAATGAATGATTAAATGAAATTTTTTTCAACAATTGAATTCATTAGAACTTTAATAAATACCTTTAATAAAAACCTTTAATAAAAACAATATCCCATATTTTCCTTTGATGTTTATGCTGATGATTTCATTGCGTTTCTCTGCCCAATGTCTCAATACATTGTATAATGTGTATACCTTGGAATTTGTAATATTATGTCCGTGCTCTAATACTTTGAATTGTGTTAATATATTTTGAAAGTTTTGTTGATATTAGAAGTCAAATGAAAAGGAAAAAATATCACCAGAAATTAGGAAAGAGAAGATACAACAATACTTGAAGGAATCCAATATGGGAGATTCTCTAGGAATCCAATATGGGAGATTCTCTAGGAATCCAATATGGGAGATTCTCTAGGAATCCAATATGGGAGATTCTCTAGGAATCCAATATGGGAGATTCTCTAGGAATCCAATATGGGAGATTCTCTAGGAATCCAATATGGGAGATTCTCTAGGAATCCAATATGGGAGATTCTCTAGGAATCCAATATAGGAGATTCTCTAGGAATCCAATATGGGAGATTCTCTAGAACCCCAATATGGGAGATTCTCTAGGAATCCAATATGGGAGTTCCTCTAGAACCCCAATATGGGAGATTCTCAAGGAATCCAATATGGGAGTTCCTCTAGAACCCCAATATGGGAGATTCTCTAGGAACCCAATATGGGAGGTCCTATATGACCCCAACATGGGAGATCATGCAGGAACCCGTCAATGGAAGGCTGTCTATCTCCTTTCCAATCACAAACCAATATGTGAATAATTCCACAGTTTAAGCAGTCCAAGTCCTGAACGCTTCATGCACCGAGCCGGATGGTTTCGTATTGTGGGCTTTTATCCGGCCACACTCGGCCACCTGGAGCTCTCAAGTAGGCCAGATATCCGTAAAGTGCACCAACGCTATCACCACCACCACCACCACTACCAAGCACCACAACCACCACCTCAACTCCCAACAATCCTAACGCCACCACCACTACCACAACTCCCAACAATACTAACGCCACCACCACTACCAACTACAACAATATGACAACCACCACCACCAACTACAACAACAATTACACCATCACCACCAGTTACCATCCCAATCCAAGCTGGACGTCTGGTGAAGTGATTCTCCAACAGGTTATTTGGACGTCAGGGTAGGGGGTAGTTGTGTGTGAGAGAGAGAGAGAGAGAGAGAGAGAGAGAGAGAGAGAGAGAGAGAGAGAGAGAGAGAGAGAGAGAGAGAGAGAGAGAGAGAGAGAGAGAGAGAGAGAGAGAGAGAGAGCTACTCAAGAAAGAGTAGCGGGAAGAGTGGGCAGGCAGTTATCCCTCACAAATGATCATTTGTTGTTAATTAAATCAGTTGCACCGATGGGAGCAGGTCCTGGAGGAAAAGAAGCAGCAACAGGAGGTAGAGGATTGAAGGAGGTGGAGGAGGACGTGAAAGAAGAAAAAGATAAGAAGGGACAACAGTGATAAAGTGGAGGAAGGTGAGGAAAGGGTAGAGGATGAGAAAGGTATGTGCAGGAGGGACATGGAGGAGTAAATTGGCTGGAACAGGAAAATAACTCCTTCGCCAACACTAATAACTTGTATTGAAACTAACATTTTCCTGCTAAGCCAAATTGTTGACCCCCCTCATCATCACTAGGTGCCACTCCTGCGTCGGTACAGCAACAGCCTTACTTCTTGCAGGGTCGGCGTTCGATCTCCGATGATCCAAGTGGGGTTTGGCACCATTCCTTCACTTCCATCCTCATATCCTAACTCCTAGTCCTTATATCCTAACTACTAGTCCTTATATCCTAACTCCTAGTCCTTATATCCTAACTCCTAGCCCTTATATCCTAACTCCTAGTCCTTATATCCTAACTACTAGTCCTTATATCCTAACTCCTAGTCCTTATATCCTAACTCCTAGCCCTTATATCCTAACTCCTAGTCCTTATATCCTAACTCCTAGTCCTTATATCCTAACTCCTAGTCCTTATATCCTAACTCCTAGCCCTTATATCCTAACTCCTAGTCCTTATATCCTAACTCCTAGCCCTTATATCCTAGTCCTTATATCCTAACTACTAGTCCTTATATCCTAACTCCTAGTCCTTATATCCTAACTCCTAGCCCTTATATCCTAACTCCTAGTCCTTATATCCTAACTCCTAGCCCTTATATCCCTAGTCCTTATATCCCAACTCCTAGTCCTTATATCCTAACTCCTAGTCCTTATATCCTAACTACTAGTCCTTATATCCCAACTCCTAGTCCTTATATCCTAACTCCTAGCCCTTATATCCTAACTCCTAGTCCTTATATCCCAACTCCTAGCCCTTATATCCTAACTACTAGTCCTTATATCCCAACTCCTAGTCCTTATATCCTAACTACTAGTCCTTATATCCTAACTCCTAGCCCTTATATCCTAACTACTAGTCCTTATATCCCAACTCCTAGCCCTTATATCCTAACTACTAGTCCTTATATCCCAACTCCTAGTCCTTATATCCTAACTATAGTCCTTATATCCTAACTCCTAGCCCTTATATCCTAACTACTAGTCCTTATATCCCAACTCCTAGTCCTTATATCCTAACTACTAGTCCTTATATCCCAACTCCTAGTCCTTATATCCTAACTACTAGTCCTTATATCCTAACTCCTAGCCCTTATATCCTACCCTTATATCCCAACTCCTAGCCCTTATATCCTAACTACTAGCCCTTATATCCCTTCCAAGTGCTATATAATCAGACTAGCTCAGCACCTTTCCCCTGATAATCTTGAATTACCATACTACTGATATATCAACCGTATTATAGTGCATGATAACAAGTGCTAGTTATCAATAGTTATACTAGTGCTAGTTATCAAACTAGCACTGGAGGAGGAGGAGGAGGAGGAGGAGGTCTCCGGTGATGTAGGATACAATCAATGAGAGTGACGAGTGTGGGATGAGGCACTATATAGAGTGCTTATAAAACTATATTCTAACTTTATCCTATAACTTAAGTATCTAGGCTGAGACTTAAGTCCGTCCTGGAAGAAAACGTCGACGTCACCCCCACGTGTCAAATGTGTGGTTATCTACTTCACACAAATGTGTGTGTGTGTAGGTTATCTACTTTACACATCTCCAATCTCAAAAGTATTTATTTATCCGTTTTCTTCAACTTTTGTGTTGCGACAGAGAGCGCAACTTACTGTCGCAACCCCGTGTTCTATAACTCTTGGCCGAGGGGAAAACTTTCATGTTTGTGCAACATATTTTATCCCGTAAGTATCATGCCGTTATTTTCCTAAATTTGTGTTGAAAATTTTCCCCTCTTAATTTTCATGGGAATATTCCTTGTTAGCGAATAGTTTTTTTTTCAAGCGGGAATAAATCTATGTTATTCAAATTGATTAAATTCAGTAAATATTAAGAAATTTTTCCTTTTGCAGTGTGATTTTTTTTTAGAGTCTAGGGTTTCGATCCCTAGGGTTTCTAGGATTTCTAGGATCTTTCAAGAGTTTCTAGAATCCCTAGAAATGAGTTCGATCCCATTTTTTCTAATTTTTATCAAAATTTATTTCATGATACAGGTATGACTGCTGAAATTGCGTTATGATACGGCAAGAGGTCGGTTATCATACCTTTAGTCGCAAATATTGACCGCCACAGGCACAGTATCGTCTGTGAATCGCGTAATATCGTAGTTGACATCATCAATTCTTCATCAATTCGTAAATGGTACTTTTATGTTGAAATATCAAATGTAAACGGTAGCTGACTAGTATGGGTCAACAGAGGGGGATGGGGAGATGAACGGGACCCACTTTGAACGGGATAACAGAGGGGCTGGACATCAACGGGACCCACTTTGAACGGGATAACAGAGGGGCTGGACATCAACGGGACCCACTTTGAACGGGACAACAGAGGGCCTGGACATCAACGGGACCCACTTTAAACGGGACAACAGAGGGCCTGGACATCAACGGGACCCACTTTAAACGGGACAACAGAGGGGCTGGACATCAACGGGACCCACCAAGTACTGCCAACAGACCTGCTGTGCTCCTAATTCCTATATTCATAAAGTATACAAAATATAGCGAACGGAAACAGCAGAAATGAGGACTAAAGACATACGAGTAGAGAGAAGGGGATAAACTGTCGAAGAGTCACGAGGCAACTATACTGCTCGACTTCAATAGCCAGTTTGGTGTCAGTATAACAAATGGCTGAAGTTTGAAGCGAGTGTAGGAAGTGTGCTAACGAAGACTTAGCGAGGGAGAGAATATATGGTAACGAAAACGTAGCGAGGGAGAGAATATATGGTAACGAAAACGTAGCGAGGGAGAGAATATATGGTAACGAAAACGTAGCGAGGGAGAGAATATATGGTAACGAAAACGTAGCGAGGGAGAGAATATATGGTAACGAAAACGTAGCGAGGGAGAGAATATATGGTAACGAAAACGTAGCGAGGGAGAGAATATATGGTAACGAAAACGTAGCGAGGGAGAGAATATATGGTAACGAAAACGTAGCGAGGGAGAGAGTATATGGTAACGAAAACGTAGCGAGGGAGAGAATATATGGTAACGAAAACGTAGCGAGGGAGAGAATATATGGTAACGAAAACGTAGCGAGGGAGAGAATATATGGTAACGAAAACGTAGCGAGGGAGAGAATATATGGTAACGAAAACGTAGCGAGGGAGAGAATATATGGTAACGAAAACGTAGCGAGGGAGAGAATATATGGTAACGAAAACGTAGCGAGGGAGAGAATATATGGTAACGAAAACGTAGCGAGGGAGAGAATATATGGTAACAACATCTTGGACCTTTGATGTTCATAGAGTATTCTCTTAAGATTATACTCAGAGTATACCTACCTGCCTGTTGGCGATTTCGGGGATCATTGTCTCCGCGGCCCGGTCTCTGACCAGGCCTCCTGGTTGCTGGATTGATCAACCAGGCTGTTTTCGATGCGGTAACTCGCAGCCTAGATGATCAGGTATCCTTTGAACATCTGATATTCAATTTACTGCACCTCTGCTTTTCAACGGGGGTATTCTGCACATCCTGCCATGCCTCCTGGTCTCATGTGGTGTTATATCTATGTGTAAATTTGCAACCAGACCTTCTATTACTTTACAAATGTAAATTATTATGTATCTCTCCCGCCTGCGCTCTAGAGAATGCAGATTTAAGCATTTTAATTGGTCCCCATAACTAGAAAGACTTTATTAATTACCCCTATCCACAGATATCATAAATACCCCTATCCACAGATATCATAAATACCCCTATCCACAGATATCATAAAATGAGTCAAAATAACACAAGGAACCATCAAGCAGTTCTAACTCCAACAGCAACAGTCGGCTGAAACATGTTCCCATCCTGCCTCCATAAAAGCTTCGCATGGAAGGGATCGGAAATTGCAAGTCGCCATAAAAGAGCCACTTTTGTCGCGTGATGTCACAATACACGGCCGACAGGGTTAAAAAAAAAAGGTCCACAAAAGGCCATAAATTACAATTGAGGTTACAAATGGCCTCTGAGTTAAGAGGTCATAAATGATCACTTACGACACAGGTCATAAATGGCCACTGAGGTCGTAAGAGGTCACAGAATAGACATTATTTAAGAAAATATTCACACACACAATTTTTAAGTTATTCTCAAAAGGTTTCATAACGTCAAAACTTAAAAGTTTAGGTAAGATAAACAAGATAGGAAAGAATAATATTGTTAAATGGTTATATGTAAACTCTGTTTACACTACTCTCCACCCTGCTGCCACAACCCTCCTCCCTGCCTCCATAACCCTCCACCCTGCCTCCACAACCCTCCACCCTGCCTCCACAACCCTCCACCCTGCCTCCACAACCCTCCACCCTGCCTCCACAACCCTCCTCCCTGCCTCCACAACCCTCCTCCCTGCCTCCACAACCCTCCACCCTGCCTCCATAACCCTCCACCTGCCTCCACAACCCTCCACCCTGCCTCCACAACCCTCCACCCTGCCTCCACAACCCTCCACCTGCCTCCACAACCCTCCACCCTGCCTCCAAAACCCTCCACCTGCCTCCACAACCCTCCACCTGCCTCCACAACCCTCCACCCTGCCTCCACAACCCTCCACCCTGCCTCCACGACCCTCCACCCTGCCTCCACAACCCTCCACCTTGCCTCCACAACCCTCCAGCCTGCCTCCACAACCCTCCACCTGCCTCCACAACCCTCCACCCTGCCTCCATAACCCTCCACCTGCCTCCACAACCCTCCACCTGCCTCCACAACTCTCCACCCTGCCTCCACAACCCTCTACCCTGCCTCCACAACCCTCCACCCTGCCTCCACAACCCTCCACCCTGCCTACTCAACCCTCCACCCTGTCTCCACAACCCTCCACCCTGCCTCCACAACCCTCCACCCTGCCTCCACAACCCTCCACCCTGCTGCCACAACCCTCCACCCTGCCTCCACAACCCTCCACCCTGCCTCCACAACCCTCCACCCTGCCTCCATAACCCTCCACCCTGCCTCCACAACCCTCCACCCTGCCTCCATAACCCTCCACCCTGCCTCCACAACCCTCCACCCTGCCTCCACAACCCTCCACCTCCACAACCCTCCACCCTGCTTCCATAACCCTCCACCTGCCTCCACAACCCTCCACCTGCCTCCACAACCCTCCACCCTGCCTCCACAACCCTCTACCCTGCCTCCACAACCCTCCACCCTGCCTCCACAACCCTCCACCATGCCTACTCAACCCTCCACCCTGCCTCCACAACCCTCCACCCTGCCTCCACAACCCTCCACCCTGCCTCCACAACCCTCCACCCTGCTGCCACAACCCTCCACCCTGCCTCCACAACCCTCCACCCTGCCTCCACAACCCTCCACCCTGCCTCCACAACCCTCCACCCTGCTGCCACAACCCTCCACCCTGCCTCCACAACCCTCCACAACCCTCCATCCTGCCTACACCACCCTCCACCCTGCCTCCACAACCCTCCACCCTGCCTCCACAACCCTCCACCCTGCCTCCACAACCCTCCACCTCCACAACCCTCCACCCTGCCTCCACAACCCTCCACCCTGCCTCCACAACCCTCCACCTGCCTCCACAACCCTCCACCCTGCCTCCATAACCCTCCACCTGCCTCCACAACCCTCCACCCTGCCTCCACAACCCTCCACCTCCACAACCCTCCACCTCCACAACCCTCCACCTCCACAACCCTCCACCAACTCCTCCGTCCCACAGTAAGAGCAATACTCCTCGCCAAAGTTATACCTTTATTAATGTCGGCGCCAAGAGTCACAACAGCGTTGAGTAATATTATTACAGCTGATAATGGTGCAATATATTGATAGTTGCAGAGGACACAGTTGCAATAGTTGCGTCTTGCAAGGCGCACATGGGGGTGTATATGTGTCACCTTACCTATTGCTTCTTACCTAATAGTGTTGCAGGGGGTCGTCCCGCGGTCAGCCCCGGGGGGAGGGAGGGTCACTGGGTCACAT